CCCCGGGGCCTCTGAGCGCCGGAGGAGAGATCGCGATCGCCGCTCGCGCCGAAGATTGACTCTTGACTGCAGGGCAGAGCCACCGCCGAGATCCTAAATCATGCACAGCCGAGCCGAAACGCTCAGATAAAACGCTCTGCAGGAGCTGTCCAAGGCGGAGGAGCTGCCTCTGCCTGGAATCCGCGTGGAGGCGCCCCGATCCGAAGAGTGCGTTCCTGCGTTTGCTCGCGTCTGCCGTGGCGGCGGCGGGGGGCCGGGGAGGAGCCAGTGCCGGTCACTTTCGTGTGCTTCTTAGACCCTTGAAACTTGGGACTGTTGGGGCGACTTCCACTGTGCCTGCACGCCATGTGCACCAGTTGAGGCCATGTGCACTGAGGCAGGAGGGAAGGGCTGAGCTGGCAAGTGCGAGCCGCAAGTGCGAGCGATTGCCGGTGAGGTGAAGAAGGAGGCGCTCGCGTCGCTCGCGTGCCCTCCGTCGCCTCAAGCGGAGGGCTACGAGAGCTCCGGCACGCAGACTCCCAAGACCAAGGCAGGGACGAGGGGACGCGAGGAGGAGAGCTTCTTGCGACTTTGCGAGGCGGTGTCCGACGGGAGCAGCTCGGAGAGTGGCGGCGGCTCCGAGCAGATGGAGCGGGTCTTCTCTCTGAGCGCCCTGGACGCCCTGCTGCAGGCGCCGAAGCCGCAGAGTAAAGAGAGCTCTGAGCTCCAAATGTTAGAAGCTTGCCTCCGTTAGAAGCTGCTTGCCTCCAGGACCCGTTGGAGAAGGCGGACTTGCGCTCGCAGCTGCAGTCGGAGCAGCTGGACAAGCGGCCCAAGTACACCTCCCAGCACTTGGACACGCCGATTGTCGTGGTCTCCTCGGAGGTGAATCCCTGGTCCAAGACCGGGGGCTTGGCCATGGTGGCGGGCAGTTACGGCTACGAGTTCGCCATGCGCGGCCATCGGACTATGGTCGTCTCCCCCCGCTACGGCGACTACAAGGACGCCGTCTACGTCGGCTACTCCAAGATCTGGCTCGACGGCCGCGAGCACGAGGCGCGGCGGCGATCTCTCTCTCTCTCGCTCCCTCTCCCTCTCCACTCCCTCCTAGTCCTAGCGTCTCAGGTCCGGTACTTCCACTTGTACCAGGATTTGGGGGAGGGCAAAGGGACGGACTACATCTTCGTGGAGCACGAAAGCTACCACCGAGGAGGTCTCTACTGCGACCGAGACGGGAAGGAGTACGTCGACAACTTGTTCCGCTATGCCTTGCTCACCGTCGCTGCCATGGAAGCACCCTTGGTGCTCACATTGAGGGGCTCAACCTATGGCCAGAACGTGCTTTTCATTGCAAACGACTGGCAGACGGGATTGCTGCCCGTCTATCACCTCTACAAGTATCGCCGGAACCGCACCTATCTCAACTCCCGCTGCGTCTTCGTCATTCACAACATCGGCTACCAGGCACCTCTACACCTCTCTAAAACCCCCTTCTGAGACTTGAGCTCTAGTTAAAACTGCACAAGAGCCTCTGCAGTTTCTCGGGCTGAGGGCAAGTACCGGCTCAGCAAATTCCCCCTGGACAGCTATTTGGGGCTTCCGCCGGAGGCGATCGACTTGTTGCAGGGTGAGGAGCGGGTTGGAGAGGGGTTGCGGGAGGGAGCTTAGGGCACAAAACGTGCGCATGCAGGATCTGAATTTGGGTGTGGACTGCATGAACCTGATGTCCGCCGCCATCTTGGCATCCGACCGAGTGCTGACGGTGAGTCCGAACTACGCCGTCGAAGTCCAGAGCCCGGAGGGCGGCCAGGGCTTGCACGAGATTCTCACGGAGAAAGGACGGCAGATGAGGATGGCCGGGATCCTAAACGGAATCGCAGACGAGTGGGATCCCAGGACGGACCCCCACATCCCCAGAAACTATGGCTTGTCAGACTTTTTAGAGGGCAAGATGCATTGCAAGAGCGATTTGCAGCGTTCTTTGGGTCTCCACGAAGACCCGGGAGCTGCTTTGCTCGGCTTCTGTGGTCGCTTGTGCTTTCAGAAGGGCGTGCATTTGATCACGCAAGTCATCCCCTGGCTGCTCACCTACGAGAACAGCGGCGTCCTGGGCCGGGCCCAGGCAAGGCCTCGCCTTCTATCGCCTTCTCTCTCCCTTTCACTTCTCCTTCTCTCTGCTCTGATAAAGAAAACTCTGACTCTTTCTCTTTTTTCTCCACGTGTTTTTGAGGTGATCTTGATGGGCAAGGGCGATGACATGTACGCCGCGCAGCTCTCCAACGCCGAGAACACCAACCGAGGCCGCGTCTGCGGCTACGTGGGCTTCGACCCCAAAGTCGAGCATCGCATGATGGCGGGCTGCGACTTTCTGCTGATGCCAAGCCAGTACGAGCCCTGTGGCCTTCCGCAGATGCATCCTGGGATGCAAGAACTCTGCAGGGGAATTGGGGGGACAAAAGGTCGCTGGTTCGGTTTCTGCAACTTGAGGTATGCACAGGCCTATGGCACCGTGCCTGTGGTCCACGAGACAGGAGGCCTGCGCCGCGACGCGCTGCAGAAGGAACTAAAGTACCGAGGGAGGGTTGCGTGCAAAATTCAACTATACAATCCTACCAATCCAAAGCAACCTAGATCAAACTCGTTCCCCAGCAGCACACACTCAAGCAGACAGTCCTTTGTGCGACCAAGCCAGTCCTTGTCCAGTCTTGCGCCAATGCCATGCATGAGGCACCAGAGAATTCCTGTTCGTTAATGCACATGTCATGTTCATTGGGTGCATTCTAGGGCTGGTTGCAGTTAACACCGTCCCTTGATGTTGACGTCAGTCGAGGACCATTCAAGCAGTTAACGGTAGATGGGGGTTGCATTGCATTGCAAAAGCAATCGTAAGCAATCGGGTGTCGTTTCATTCGACATTGAATCCGACTTGTAACGACAACTTCACTCTACCAAAACATGCGGCATCACTCTGGCACTCCTAAATTCATTCGATGTCTCACTCAGAGGCCTCACTTCATGCCTACAATGTGGAGCACAAGCTCTGCTCCGGCCCGCAGGGCATTCGCGACCTGGGCGATGGCAGTGGCAATCGCAGTGAAATCATTGAAGCCAGATGCTGAGGCACTCCAGGCATTCGGCTCAGCGCATTTGAACGACTGGCACCAGGCCCATCATTCTCCATTCCACCAGTTTGGTGTCGTGGAGGGTTGCTTGCGGGACCATTCGACAATCTCGTCGAGGCAGAGGAGGCACGTTGGGGCGAACACAGTCATGATGTCAATCATTTGGAAGAGTCCACAGCCATTTCTCACTCCTCTGGCCATTCCACTCGAATTCCGCACTGCCTCAGTCCGCGTTCTGCGGAACACCACGAATCAGATGGGCTTTGCATTGATTCGCCAATTGAACAGTCTTTCGGAAGACCGATTAATCTGGCTGTAAGGATAGCGGCTCAAATCCAAACACGCCAAGCTCATTGGCAAGCCCCAGTCATAGACACGAACCAGGTCCTCAGTGACATTCTCCTTTGCGAAGGGGGCACACCTCCATGCTCGCTCGGCCTCGGTCATTGCATACCAGGCAGTCTCGACCACAAGCTCATTCGGGTCATTCTGGATCGGGGTGATCCAGCGAGGACATTGGCCCACTGCTATTCTCGTCAGGATGCTCAAGTCTGCATCCGGCCACAGCGTGGGGCAGTGACCTCATCCCATTCGCGGGGAAACACCGCCTCATCCAATCCGATTTGGGCAGCGAGCAGTCGGTCAGCGAGGTCATTCGCCTCAATGACAAGGCGCTCCTGGTCACTTTCCAACACCATTGTCAGACAGGTGTCCAGTCGGGGCCACATTCCGGTGATGTCGGGCCCACAGTCCACTCTATTACTTCATTCATCAGATGGCGGGCCTCGAACGGAACATCATTCCTGGCCACGTGGGCCGCGGAACATTTGGTGCTTCCATGCCCATTGCGGCATCAATCTGAAGCCACTTGCATCTGCATTCTCCAAAGGCTTTCACAGCCGGGCGAACAAAGGATTCCCTCAGTGCCAGTCGACGCAAATCCTGCCGATCCTCAGGGTAGGTGCATTGAGACCAGCGTGGTGTGCACGGGCAGGGCAGCAGCCAGCTCCTCCTCATCAGTTTTTTCATAATATGTTCAATCATTTCCTCCCGGATGGGCTGCACATTCTGCTGCATCACGACAGGGCCATTGCTGCACACTCGCACTCTAGAATCAGACGAAACATGTCTGTGAGGAAAACTTCTCAATCCGCGACACAAGTGTCTCAAACAGTCCCTTGCATTGCAGCACTGTACATGCAGTCGCTACACTGCACAAGACAGCAGTCTGCATTGACATGTGACATGCATTCAGTCTTGGACGCGCACTGCAATCACTGTAACTCATTCACACAGTCCCTCGACGTGGACGTCAGTCCAACCAGCGTCCAGGGATGCATCGCGCACAGCGCATGCATTTGCAGGTTGGGCGCACGAGGGCAGAGTGGTGGTCGGGGAGGTCGGCAACATGGTCATCTTCTTGACACGCGGCAAGAAAGGTCTCGTGTCCTGCGGGCGCCTTTCAACTCGTTTGACGAGTCGGCTGCTCATGGCAGCTGGCACGCATGCCCTTCTGGGACACCTAGCGTAAGAGCACCGGAGCGCCTTACAAGTTCAATGCGTCTTTCGCAACTAAGAGAAATAAAGAGCCTGAGCTAATCATCAAGGGTGTGCAGATATGGCACCGCTGATTGCTGAATCATTGGAAGCTGGCATTTGTTCTGCCTCATTCGGCGGGCGGCCACCAATCTGTCCTCGAGGATGGTGACTCGGTCCGAGAGTCGAGAATGCCATCTGAAGAGTTTCCAGTCCTTCCGCCAAGGCCTCCAGCTGAACTCTCTGTAGATACAGTTGACTGGCCACCCAGTTCATATCTGCCTCGGTCAGGTAGGAACTGAGGTGTCCTTGCGTTGCATCACCGGCACGCTGCAACGATGGCTCGGTATCGGAAGCTACAGCTAAGGCTTGATCAGCAGAAGTGCTGGTCAGGAAAATGACACACATGTTGGTGCTGACGTGTTCAAGACCGGCCGAGTCGAGCACATGCGGATCGTTTGCATCACCAGCTGTTTGCAGAACAGCTGTGTAATGCCCCGCGGTTGGCACTGAGCCATGATGCTGTATGCATGCCGGCACATGATAGACTTTCCAAGTGATATCGAGGTTATCAGCAGTCTGAAACACAGGAATCCTTAGGGTACTCGGGATGATACAGGGGTGCTGCTGCTTTATCGCCCATCCTGGAGAGTGGTACAGGAATCGCGGGAGCTGCAGACAGCGCCACTTAGGCTCAGTTGTGAAAGCTTGCAAGGTGACACCTTCGTGCCATCCCTTGACCAAGCTTTGCAGATCCAGCTGATCCCTGGATCCCGTCTGATCAGGAAGTAACAATGGGATGCACTTTGTAGCACTGGTTTGCTGAACTATCTGAATCCCATGGTCACCTAACTGCGCGACTCCCAGGTTCCACACGGCTGTCGCCTGACCAGTTTGGGATGTATGTGGTCTATGAATTCAGCCACATCATGTTGTCTGTAAGGCTCCGACCGTCCCAAGAGTCCGAACCCGAACAAGCGAACAACATGGTGTGCCATCCTTGTCCTGCCCCACAACACCTGCGGAAGCAATTGGCGTTCCCCTACGGCTTGGAGAATGTGAGCGAAGCAGTACAGAAATGAATTCATGTAACATTGATTGTTCCCTCCTTGGAGAATGAACGGCGGCAAGGCAATGCGACGCGCCTGTGATGCACTCGGGGCGGGCGTCCTGAGACGACATGCATCGTCCACTGATGTCGCTGGTCTGGCAGCTGGTGCTGAGTGCTGGGGTAGGCTGTCGGGATTACGGTGCTTAGGGGCAATACGTTGCAGGTGGAGGTCCTCGCTCAGCGGCGCTTAGGATATGTGATGTCCGCCAGCTGCCTGGCCAGCTTGGACTGATGTAGATTGTACTTTTCGATGGATTCTCCGATCAGATGCGTGGCCGTGTTGGCGGAAAAGGTTGAGAAAGCTTCATTTCGAGAGAGGTCTGGCCCCGAAGAGCCACTTCCAGATGAAATGTGGACGCCGGAACCATCGTGGTCTCCACCTTCTGCAGCCCCGGCGTCGAGCTGAAGCGCTGGATTATGTCGCCATGGTTATCATCCAAGTCAACAGCCGGACTGCCTCCGAGTGTTGGAGCGGAGGCCTCCCTGGATCCTGGACCGGTCCCATTTCAAGTAGACCCAGTTCCCGTCCTTGTCGATCCATCCTTTCTGGAGCAGTGCCGCTTTGGTGGTCTCCATCGCAATCTCCCGTTGCAACCGTTTTTGAAGTTCTTGCAACATTGGTTGCATCAAGACCGTTCTTAGCGGCGTTGTCGGCGGCGTCGTGGCTGCGCCCTGTTTCTGATGCCATTCTTTGCTGACTTGCATGAGGGGGCATGGTACTCCCTCTTGCTCGTGTTTGATGAATAACACGAAGCATTTCTCCTTGCGCAGACGAGAGATCGTCTCTTCTTGCTGCAGGATAATGCGACTCATCAATCGTAGAGGGTCGGTGCCCTGGGGCTGACCCGGATGAGGGCCCGGAGTGCCCACCCCCATCCCCATGTGAGGCATCTGTGGGTGCATCCTCAGGCCGGCCTGCGTCTGCCTGAACTGCTGCTCTGGGCGCTGCCTCTTTTGGGCTCGTGGCTGCATCAAAGCCGACGTTTGGTGGTAAGCTACCGCTATGCACAATTGGAACAAGGGAGTGCATTGCAGAGTGTGACGACCCGGAGCCCCCACTCGGTGTGAGATGTGATTTAAACGGCTTGGCAAGCTGTTCAGCAATGGGAATCAAGCGCCCTTGCTCATTGCCATGTATACGACGAAAGTGCTGCTTCACATGTCTGAAATCCGCAATCCACTGATGACAAATGGCACAGTAGTGCTTGAGTTCCTTGAGCAAAGCCGGCGCAGAGCCAGTCCCATTGTGGCAGCCTACGTATAAAGGCTGTGCGACAGGCGCAGGAATCTGCGCTGCATCATACGGTGACCTGATCAGACTGTCCCCTCCCAGCTGAGAACAAGCTCCTCTCTAAATGTGCTGACGAAGATGTGACCATCGAAAGAATTGTCTATCACACAGGCGGCACTGTGACATACCTGCATATGCGTGCAACTGAGGTTGGAGTTGGAATACCGTGGGAGTGCGAGTGGAATGAGTCGGCAGTGTTCTGTGAAAGACGAGTTATTGCCCTAAGGTGACGAGTCAGTTCGGTGACCAGCCGACCTAAGTCACCTGGTGCAGACACACGCTTGTCAAAGGCGGATACGATACTGCTGACTCAAGTGATGCGTACCATTCAGGGTCTTGCGGAGACCTTGGTACCTGACTTGCAATGCTTTAAATCTGTGCGCAAACACTATCGACCCTAGGTATTCATGGTCTTCCTTGATCGGAATGCCGCACTCACGCCCGTGCACAACCACCTTGAGGTAAAGAACCCCTGCCTTGCGGTAGGTGGCTTTACGCCGGATTGTCGCAGCGTCCTTGCCAACCAGGTGTAGAAGAATGGCCGTTTTTGGTAACTTATGTTCATTTTGAGGGTCTCTAGGGTGTCCAAGATGAGCTCTAAACCCTGCTTGGCTTGTGTGAAGTCCTGCTGACATTGAAAATGCCAAGCACCCAACAGTCATCCGCAAACATGGTGAGGATGTTTTGAATCCAAGCTTGGTCCCTTTTTTCTTGAAGAAGAAGCATAAAAGCCACCGTGAAGTAAGACCAAAGATACGGCGCCATCTTACAACCCTGTTTTATGCCATTGGTGGTACAAGTGTGGTTTTTCAAGTCTCCTACGGTGAAGTGGTATTTCGCCTCAAAGTGAAGACGCTGAATCACTTGCACTGTTGTCTCGTCGACCCCATGCCTTCTGAGAGACTGGTAAATCAACCCTCTGTCCACGCTGTCGAACGCTTTCGACAGGTCAAGTGATAAACTCAGACCCTCAATGACACGTCGGCAGGGCGTGTCCTGCCTGCTGCTGGAACCGATTGACTTTACTAGTCCTAAGAAGTTGTGCTACCTGATGAACATGTCCATGTGCTCGGGCCAGTGCATCTGCTGTGCCCCTGGACTTGGTGTAAGCAAATTTGTGGCAGTGTCCGAAGCACAGGCTGCAGCGATTGAAGCAAGGTATCACGGAGGACACCAGCTAAGACCTTACTGCAATCCTATGGGTCTCATGTTACTCACCTTAGTGGCCGGTGTATTTGGCTTTGGGAGCCATACTACATGGGTATCTTTCCAATCCCCTTGGAGATCCCCTGACTGACCGGCTTGGAAGTGCGAGCTAAGAGCGTGTCCTAGGACTCTCGGCGCACAATTTCCAGCAAACTGCTGGAGCCACCTGTTTCGGCACTGCTTTGCCAATGCCCTAAGTAGAGAGCCCATGTATAACCCTTTCATCGGCGACGTGAAGGCTAGTGGGCAGCACAGTCGGCGGGTCCTCCGCCGGTTGGGCAGCAAAGGTGGCATCGCTGTAGTCTACGATAGCCTGCAGCTGTTCATCTGGTGTGAGGAGCTGTCTCGAGGCATTTTGTAGTCTAGAAGCCTTTTGCTGATTTTTCGGAGTAAGTCGTCTGACTATGTTGTGCAAGGTACGCTGATCCCCTTTACTTGCAGCTGTTTCAGCAGTGTTTATGCCACTGCAGAAGCAATGCCGGGTTCACCTCCTGGTGCATCTACGCGATTGAAGTTGTACTGTGGTGAGATATCCAGTGCTTGCTTTCAGTCAGCTCCTCTTGAGAGGGTGTTGTTGATGAGCCAGCCATCAGGCTGACTCCCGGGTGTTCCGGAGAGTGCCAAGTAGTTGCACAGACTTCCGGTTTACGGAACCATCGACGCAGGGTGCGGTTTCTACAACAGCACAGGCTGAGTTCCGAGGCAAAGGAAGAAGGGCTGACGGTAAGTAGGATCGCTGTACTTCTTGCCTGGGTCGGACAGATTGCCGGCTATCATCCACGTGCCTGTTGTGGCACGCGACCCCAGAGGGAAATGACAGAATGCAGCGGATCGCTTGGCGAAGTTCGACGTGGGAAGGAGTAAGGACACGGACTTGACTTCCGTTTTTTGCGGACGGAGGTTTAGACAGGCCGAAGACGACGAAACGAGGCGGGTCCCGAAGATCAACATCCCAGCAGGACGCAAGACGAGTGACCCATTGAATCTGAGGTAACCAGTATCCAGCCTCAGGAGTGTAGTGGGATCTCGTGCGTGGATAGCGCGGTTTGCCAGACCGGACCTATGCTACCGTGTCAACGGCCTGCAGAGACCTGGTGCAACGGCCAGTCGAGAGCGGAGACAGATTGCGAGCAATCATCTGCGAATTTCGTGGGCAACTGCCTAGCTTGAAGGGCTGCCTTGCGAAAACCCAGAAGCGAATGCTCCACTTGCGGGTGACTGGCTGCAGGAGCTTGAGGGACCACCTCAACAGTCATCAGATGAACAATGTGGCCAACTTGAGCTCATGGCCATGAGGCAACAATGATGAGAAGGAAAGATTGCAACATTGCAACTCTACGCTCCTCATGGAGACAAACTTCGTTCGACTGACACGGCAACACAGCTGGCCGACGCGCTCGGGAACAGTATGAAGCCCTACCAGATCTTCAGACTCATGGAGGAAAATCATCGCGCTCCGATGATGCCAGTGAGAGGTGCAGCCGCGTGGCCAAGACCCGGCAGTAAGATTTGTTACGGCCAAGAGTGCCACAAGAGTGGGCCAGAAAGAGCCAGCAAGAACCACCAAGACTTGGCAGTACGATTTGTTACTGTCAAGAGTGGGCCTGAAAGAGCCTTCAAGATCAGGCGATACGATTTGTTACGGCCAAGCGTAGGCCAGAAAGAGCCACCAAGACCCGGCAATACGATTTGTTTCGGCCAAGAGGTCGTTACCGGAAATTGTTATTTGGTCGACCGCCTTTGGTAGAGAACGGTACGAGATTTCATTCCCAAGTGCATGTGTGACGCGCCCCCGGCACGCATCAATACGTAAGACGGGTGAGAATGTCTCCTCGATTCTTGCCTGTATAGCTTGATTTCGTGCCTTTTTCATGCGTTGAGCCATTCATTCCCTGTCTCCTGTCTCCAGAGCCGAAGCTCCGCTACAAAGCAAAAATTAATGATACAATCCTACCAATCCAGAGCAACCTAGATCAATCTCTTTCCCCAGCAACACACTCAAGCAGACAAACCTCTGTGCGACCAAACCAGTCCTTGTCCAGTCTTGAGCCAATGCCAATGCCATGAGGCACCAAAGACTTCCTCAACGCTAATGCATCATGTTCATTGGGTGCACTTTAGGGATGGTTACATCTGAGGGAGGGTGGGTGGGTGGGAGGGTGCAAAATTCCACTATACAATCCAGACAGCGAGAGCAATCTAACACGAGATCAATCCCTTTCCACAATCACACAATCACGAACACTTCTTTATGCAACCAGGCAGTCCGTCCAGTCGGTCTTGAGCCAATGCCATTC